AGATAGATAGATAGATAGATAGATAGATAGATAGATAGATAGATAGACAGACAGATGATCTATAGATAGATAGATATAAAATTTAGATAATTATATAGATACATATATAGATAGCTATCATGCTAGGAGTCAGAATTTGATCATTCTTTACTGTTTTGCATTAACAAAGTATAGCAAGTGTGTGGTAGACAGATTTTTGGTGTTATACAGGTTTTCCCACCCATCTCTACCACTGTATACTTGTCAGATATCATCCTGTAGCTTGTGACCATAGATGTAACTCCCTTGTACATAGGCTAAGCATATGAGATCTATTGGATTGGCCATTTATATGTGTTTAAGAAGTACACTATTAAACAAGAATCTGTTTATTAGTCATACCATGGATAAAACTGCTTTCTCTCTCCATCACTCTTCAGCTAATAGAGAAGGCTTATAAACCCACGTAGTTTTGGCTTCTATGAACCCATTATATTTGATTCCACCAGAGAAACAAACTTTGTAAGATTATTAAAGCTCTGTATGTTGTTCTAAGCACAAGAAACCAGGAATTTATATCTACTTCCTTCCTGGTGTAACTGAGGCTTGAGATGACATGTGTGCAAAGGTCCTTGTATGCCTTTCTATAATGATTTGCATAAGGTATAAACACGTCCAAGTTAGTTTGGAGCAGGCCCCGCTGCACTGCCATGCAGTTTCCTAATTCTTACTCTGATAAGCCACAGCAGTTCTTGAGTGTTTCTCTTACCTGCTCTGGTCCAGTTCCCAAACACTGCTGTGCCTTCCTAACAATTCATTTCTCTGTGCCCTCCTCTGAGACAATGATGCAGTCTTCCTTCTCCAACGATGTCAGATTTCATCTTTGCACTATATCACAATAATTCAAAGCTTAGCCCAACCAGTTCTTTGCCAAAATGTGACATTCATAAAAGTAGCCACGAATGACCTCCACTGTATCTATCTTTCCAAAGCATCTGACTCTGAAAAAGAACTTAGACAGCTTTGCTTCTTTCACTTGCAGTTATTACAAATAATACTTTGCCTTCATTTGGGCAAAAGATCAAGACAAATATTGAACTAGAGACTGTGAAGGACGTAGAGCAGAGATCTTACCTTTATTATGTTGGCCTGAGTCCCTGGGTCATGAAGGGTTTGACAACTTGGCAATTGAGAAGATATCTAAATGAGATGAACACATAATTCATCTCTTAACGGTAGAGTTTTGTGCACATTTGAAATGAGAGCATTTATAAAATGTCAAACAACCATCTTCAGATTTTGATATTGGTGGCATATAGGTGACCTTCAAGGATAGTGATGCTTATGTCCGAATCTAGAATTTTATGTCCTGTTTAATCCATTGCATTTACAGAGGGATTGCCTCATAATATATTTTTATTGTTTTACATTTAGGATGCAATTTGATTAATGAATGTGAGTTCTGAAAACAAAAACTCTCCTTTACTCACAGAATATAATAATACTGCCATTGTTTTCAAAAATCATCTAAGATGCAAGTTTCTTTTGCCTTATGATTTTTTTTTACCCTGAATCTCAAAGGCATACAATGAAAACATGAATTGCATGTGATAGCAGCAAATAAAGCTTCACCATGAAAGCTCATAAATCATCATGGTGACAATGCTTGCATTTAACATCTATGTCAAAATGAACCACTTGTCCATGGAGAAAAGGCAGAGACCTGAACAGAATCTGACAAGCAAATCAGGAAACGACAAGTAGCCTATAAATCTGGGCTAAAAGTAGTTGAGCAAGATGGCCCAACATTCATCCATGTATAAAGGCACAGATAAACCCAGAGTAAGCAAACATCACAGCATGTAGTTTATGAGTTATTCCCTCCCCACCTCTGCTGAAAAGATTCAGAACATAAAATGTCTGGGTCAATGGTGTTTTTCTGTTATCTACATTTTACTGGATTCTCTTCCACGTTACTGATCATGCATCATTCTCTACACACTAGGCCCCGTCTCTACTCTCCTAGCCAGAAGAAACCTCATTGCTAGTGTTATTCAGCAAAGTTTAATTTTTAAAAGTTTAGTTCCCTGTGATTTATATTAAAATCAGTATGGAGAAAAGATTTGGAGATATTAAATTGTTTAAAAATAATTCTGTATTTTTAATTTAGCTTTGGAGATTTGGGGACTTGATTTGTTTAGTTTTTTTTCCTTAATTATTACTGTATACTTTCGGGAAATAACACATTTCTTATGGGAAAGTTTTCAAGGAATTCCTGAAGTTAAATTAACTCATAATATATAAACTGAAAATTGGGAATCTGGTATGACTACAGTATTGAAATCCTGGAAAATTTTTCTTAGATGGAATTAGATCTGGAGATAATAAGGGACCAAAAAAATGTTTTCAATAGTAAATATTGGACTGGGGATGTTTTCCAATTGTCTTAATTCTGGATCTGTTTTGTCAGGAATATGTGTGTGTCTTCAATAATCTTACTCTCACAGGGCCATATAGAAGTATGTACTAGTAGATAATATTTCAAGATTTTCTATTAAATAGAATTCTTAAGCATAATGTCAGTGTCCATTTTAACTGGACGTGTTTATTTTCAGAGTCTGTCTGATGGAAAATATAACGAACTCTTTAATTTTCCCATTTTGTCTCTGGGTCCCTACACAAATGATTTTCACATCTACTACCAGTAAAGCTGCAAGTGTCAACCACACAATTTAGATGTCAATCTCTAGCTCGCTATAGTGGCTTTTACTTTGGTCCTTTTCTTCTCCATGTCTGTATGTTCAGCCAGGTGTAGGTAAGAAGTCTAAGCCTGGCTGCAGTTTGCTCTCCCACCCTTGCTTCTCTGTTGTTAATGCTGCGCGTGGCTTTGTGTGTGCTACTGTTGCATTGCAATGTAAAATGTGTTTTGTCTCTTCTGTCTTTGTCGCTGCCAGCTGCTAATCTGAATGAGGTGGAAAAAGGTTAGTTGCTCTTTTTAAGTCTATTATGGTTCTCCTCTGTCTTTTAAAGCTACTAGATTTTACTGGATGTTCTGGGTAAAGATGTTGACAAGAGATCAAGTCAGAAAGTGTTACATCCAATCATTCCTAGAGATCCTTGGTATATGTATAGCTGCATTAAACACTATAAAATGGTTCATTGAAATGCAGTTAATTTCTAGTTTTCTCACCATGATTGGGAAAAATTGTCCAAAAGTTAGAAATTATTTTATATTTCCTACTTGTCTATGTGTTTCACACTTTTAAAGATATCATAAGAATATATTATTTATATAATGAAAAACATAGACCTTTTCGTACATTGTATTTACTCTACTTAGTAAAAACATTTAAGGTAGTGATGTCTTTTTATAAGTTTAATTTCATAGCTTTACTTTTATGCACTGTGAAAAATATCTGAAAATGTGGATAGTAATTGAAACATTTGCCAACTTGTAGAGGACCCTGGTTCCAACCCCAGAACTACAAAAAAAGTAAATGTAAAAATAAATTATATATATATACATATATATATATACTTATATATATGTTTCTAACATACATGTGAATAATATAGTGATAATATATGCTTCCTATACATGTGTATACATAAAAATGTATTATATATGAAATGCCTTACAAAATAAATTTGACAAAGCCAAGAAATTGATTTATATGGTGAAACTGTCAAATTGATATTGCTGAATTCAGTGAGCTCTAAGCAGTTTTCTTAAGGCATTAGAAGATTTGGTGCATAGTCACTAACCTCAGTGTAGTTACTGGGTTCCCAAACACACCCAGAACCAAGAAGGGGTC